GGGGGGAATGAGGGGAATGAGGGGAAATGTGAGGAGCACGCCTAGATGTAATTCGTCAACAAAAATAACAGTGACATTCATTTTTTTACCGGTGCCGATTATTTTTTTACCGTTCTGAGGGAAATTAAAAGAAAAAAAAAAAGGCCAGTCGGCATAATATCACCGTCTTCACCCGAATAGAACGACGAGACATTATAGCTGTATTTGGGCGAGCTTTGCCTCCTTGAATGTCTTGCTGCCCTTTGCAAACCGTGCAAGGGCTTTGAAGAAGAGCGCGCTGAAGTTCTTGCTTCATAGCTATCACAGGGAGGATAAGCATACAACCACAGTTAGCCAATTGCTGAATGCGGTGGAGGCTTCCCGTGATAGCCCCAATTTTTGCTCCCCTGTCAGAGTACGAGCAGAAATCCTGGAAGCACCGAACGTAAGCTGTTGAGAAGGACGGGAGGAGGAGGAGGAGAAGGAGGAGAAGGAGGAGGAGGAGGAGGAGGAGGAGAGAGAGAGAAAGAGGACAGCTCAGACGGTTCGGCTTGCGATAAGCACACGCTGGTAGGAGGTTCTCCCTGATGAGAAGAGGGACGACGAGGAGGAGGGAGGAGGAGGAGGAGGAGGAGGAGGAGGAGAATAGAGGGGAAGATAAGGACGACGATAAGGATGGGACAGGGCGTAAGGGGGGAGGACAAAGAAGGAGCATTCGTGCGGGGAAAGAAAAGAAAAAAAAAGAAGTGTGGAAAACGACAAGAAAGGAAGTGCAGAAAACGACAAGATCGAAGCGAAAGCATCTTGTCTAAGGGCCTCGCCACAGCACTGTCGAAGGGAAAAAAGTACGAGAGTGCATCTTGCCGCAGAGAATGGGCAGGTGCGATGCGACGGATGCATCGAACCACTTTCTGGGGAAGATGCATTCGTTTTTTTTTTTTCGTTTCGACAGTGGTGTGGCGAGGCACTAAGGAAGGAAAGGAGTATGGGCAGTAGAATGGAATCGTTTCCTGATGGCGGGAAAAATAGTAATAATTTGTTTTTATTATTATTATATATATTATTATTTATGATTATGATTATTATGATTATTATTATTATTATTATTATTTATTATTATTATTTTTTTAATAGTAATAATTTGAAGTAATTTACTAAAAAAGCCGATTTGACCAAAAAAAAAAAAAAAAAAAAAGCCGATCATAATGGACCAACTAGAAGGGGGGGAAAGAGGGGAAATGAGAGGAGTGGGGGAGGTAGGTGAATTGTTTTTTTTATTCCCCTTACTTTTTTTTTTTTCCTTACTCTTTTTCTTTGATCGGGTGTGTATTTTTTTTTAACGAGGAGGAAAAGCAGGATGACCGTGTAAGCTATAATCTCTTATAAATTAAATATATATCGTCACAAACAGAACTGCCCGGTAAACCGTAGGCAGAGAGAGAGAAGAGGACAACAAACGAGGGGCTGTGACAAACTGTTTCGTCGGAGTTTCACCGACTCATCAGGAGGCTGAATATATATATATC